AAAATTGCAACTGCCCATTGTTCGCTTCTAGGGGGAGCCGCAATGAATTTCTATATACTGAATTTATCAGTCTTGCTAAATTTTCATTGATGGTTCTACTGGCATTTTTGCAGATTCCTTAATATTTTCCACAGATGATGGAAAATGATCATGTTTGTCTGAAATAGACAAGTTTTTTTTTTAAGTCGGTAAACATTTAATATTTTAAGCCTTACTGCACTGACTAGAACTTCTAGTACAACATGGACTAGAAGTGGTGAGTGTGGGCATTTTCCTTGTCCCCAGTCACAAGGGGTCAGTTTACAGTCTTTCACCAAGATTGATAGGAGCCATTGGTTTTCAGATATCCTTTATCAGAATGATGACGCCTCCTTTGATTCCTAGTTGCAAGTTTTTATAATGAAGGGATGCTGGATTTTGACAATTTTTTCTGTATATATTGAAGGGTTTTCAGTTTCAGTCTGTTAATATGGTGAATTACGTATGGTGTTGGTCCTGTGGGTGCAGAGAAGGCAAGAGTTGAAGTTTGGGGGAGACTCCGCTTAGGTTTCAAAGGATGTATGGCAATGCCTGGATGTCAAGGCAGAAGTCTGCTTCAAGGGCAGAGCCCTACTAGGGCAGTGTGGAAGGGAAATGTGGTGTTTGAGCCCCCACCTGGAGTCCCCACTGGAGTACTGCCTTGCGGAGCTGTGAGAAGAGGGCTACCGTCCTCCAGACCCCAGAATGGTAGACGCACTGACAGCTTGCACCGTGTGCCTGGAAAAGTTGCAGGCACTCAATGCTAGCCCATGAAAGCAGATGTGGGGGTTGTACCCTGCACCGCCACAGGGGTGGAGCTGCCCAAGACCTTAGGAGCTCACCCCTTGCATCAGTGTGGCCTTGATGTGAGACATGGAATCAAAGGAGATTTTTGGGGGGCATTAAGACTTAAATGATTTTCCCTGCTGGGTTTCAGACATGCATGGTGCCTGTAGCTCCTTTGTTAGGGCAGATTTCTCCGTTTTGGAAAGGAAGTATTTACCCAATGCCTATGCGCCCATTGTACCTTGAAAGTAACTTGCTTGTTTTTGATTTTTCAGGTTCATAGGTGAAAGGGACATGCTTTGTCTCAGATAAAACTTGTACTTGAAATTCTGAGTTAATGCTGGAATGAGTTAAGACTTTAAGGGACTGAGGGGAAGACATGATTGTGTTCTGAAATGTGAGAAGGACATGAGATTTGGGAAAGGCAAGGGGCAGAATGATATGGTTGGCTCTGTGTTCCTACCCAAATCACATGTTGAATTCTAAATCCTAATGTTGAGGGAGGCTCTTGGTCGGAGGTGATTGGATAATGGGGTGGATTTCCCCCTTGCTCTTTTCATGATAGTGAGTGAGTTCTCACAAGATCTGGTTGTTTAAAAGTGTGTAGTATTTCCCCCGATCCTCTCTCCTACTCTGCCATGGTAAGATGTGCCTGCTATTCCTTCACCTTACACCATGATTGTTAAGTTTTCTGAGGCCTCCCCAGCCACGCTTCCTATACAGCCTGTGGAACTGTGAGTCAACTAAACCTCTTTATAAATTACCTGGTCTCAGACAGTTCTTTATAGCAGTGTGAGAAGAGATACCCTATTCCATAGTGGTGATGTGTCCTTTCACTAGGATGCAAATAAATGTCTGGCTATCTTTTTGTGATGCTGGAAACTAATGTAATCCGATTCATCAGCAGCTGCAAAGTAGTAACAGTTGAATTCTTTCCTTGTTTATAGATTACTTCTTTAAAGAAGAACTTCTCATCACGTATTTGTTTATTCTCAGTAACAGTTCATATAGAAAAGGCAGTATAAATGCAAAATTTTCTATTTAAACACTGTTCAAAGTCATGAGCCAGTTCCCCAATATCCTCCAAAGTGACCAATATTATTTTAGCATCATTATAAACTTGTGGGTTTAGACCTTGTGGTAAGTTTCCACCTATTATCCCTTTATGTATGGTCAGTAAAAGATTCTTCATGTAGGCTCCCAGGTACTGTTGATAACCAAGTCATCTTTGATCATTTCTTTGATTTTTCTTATGACAAGACGATCATAGCTAATCTTATACAAATATTTCTTCCTGTGGACCTGAAATCAGCCATTTCTCTAATCGTCATTTTAGTGGAAAATAATATTTAGAATCCATAATGTAGGTCTTTTTAGTAGGCAAAGATAGGTTTCTTTTTTTGAGAAAATACATTGTGAGTTCATTCTGCTAATTACATTCAAATTAAAAGCTTTAAGTTTTTATTACTTCATTTATATCTTTTCTTTCATATCTGAATCCCTTTTCTCTTATGCTGAAAAACTGTATTAACGTAACTACTCATTTGCTTAACTCTATATTTTCAGAGTAACATTACAAATACTATAAACATTATGATTACTGAAAACAGTACAATATTTTTTTTGCAATTCTTTTTGCCCTTAGAATCATATTACAGTGTTTTATAGTCATTTGGAATAATTTTTCTCTTTTAGGCTATGTTGCTAACTCAAAATATAAGGTCTATTTAGATGAGTGTAACTTTTAACCTTGTCTTTTTCCACCTCAGTTTAATTAAAAAAAAAAAAAAAAAGATTCCAGTTTATCATTCTAATTTTTAAATAAGCCAACATAGAGGCACAAGTAATCACTTCCACTGATCCTTTCTTTGATAGTAACATACTATATATAGTTTTCTCTCCTTTCTTTTTTTGACCTAAGAATATATTTATCACTCCATAGCAGTATATTCAGATTTTAGAAATTTGATTTCCAATCGCCTGGTACACCTTTGCACATCCACGTATTTAAGTTTTCCTGAGGTATAATTTATATACCATAAAATTCACTCATTTGAAGTGTACAATGACTGTCAGTAAATTTACAGAGCTGTGTAAACATCACCACAGTCCAATTTTACATTTCTATCACCCAAAAAGATCCCTTGTACCCCAACCATCCTTTTATTTTAAAGCTTTCTCAATCTTTTTAAGATATATCTCTCATATTCTGCAAGTGTTGGAATTTACTTCCAAAAATATTTTAATAAGTAAATTATAGCCATTTACATTTAACTATATGACTGATGTTTGGCCTTAGCTCTGCCACTGTTTTGTGTCCTATTTGTTATGTCTCTTTTATCTGAAAATAAAATATCTAGTCTTTAGTTAACGTGATTTTCTTGCCCTGCCGGTCTCTTGTCTTTGTATATCTTTTTGATATTTAGGAAGGCTTCTATTTTTATTCTAAAGGTCATTATTATGCAAATATCTTATATAATATCCTTAGTAGTTTTGGAGGATACTATCTATTGGCTCCCTACTATAAATAATTTTGATATTCTCCCTTATTTTCCTCTCCCAAAACACCTAATTTGAAGTAGTAACTTTTTATTTCCTGAAAATACCTACAGGACAATCAGTAAATATATTCTATTTTACTTGCATTATTTCTGTTCTTGCATTTTCAAAGAATTGCGCTTTAGTTACACTGTCAGACTTATACCCATAGAATATTTTATTATCTCCTTTATTATGTAGCTCTAGTTCTCTTCAGTAAGAAGTTTTATTCTGCAAAGGAATTTTGCAGTTAGTTTGAGAGTTCACAGGGCGAGATCACTCCAGCACTATCCAACCTTTCTGAAATCTGTAAAGTTGCCTCCCAAGTTTTAGCTGTTCTCATATTGATCTCTAAGCATTCTAAAACTAATGGGACCTCTTCCCTTTAGAGAAAATCAGGATGCTGGCAACCTGATTTTTGGGTTCTCTGAGCCCTCCCTTGCTGATACCATGCTAGTCTTGATGTTGCTGCTGATTTATTTCACCCACTTGTATTTTGGAGTACACAGGTGTTGTATAATAAAGAATTTGGGTTTTGTTGCTGGTTCCTCTTAAGTTCTTGGAATTGAGCAACAGGAAAATCTTTGTTACTCATGAGCCCCTTGGATCCCTCCTGAGTTAATGCTAAGAATATGACTCGGGATGGGTGTACAAAATGCCACAAAGATCAACTGTATGATCTGAACAACATACATGTCTTTGACCCATATGACTTCAGCCCAATTTCCTAAACTCCAGCGAAGGGGGCTGAAGATCAAGCTTAACCACATGGCCAATGATTCAATCAACCATGTCCACATAATGAAACCTCAACAAGAAGCCTGAATACTGAAGCTTTGTAGAGCCTCCTGGTTAGTGAACATGTAGATAGTGTGAGGGGGGTGTGCACTAATTGCACAAGAAAAGAGTAAAGAAACTTTGAGTTTAGGACCCTCTGAGATGTTGCCCTGTGTCTCTTAATTTGGCTAGTCCTGATTGTATCTCTATAATAAAATTATAATCGTTAAGAATATTGTTTTCTTGAATTCTGAGTTGTTTCAGCACATTATAGAACCTGAGTGGGGGTCATAGGAACTCCTGAATTTGCAGCCAGTTGGTCAGAAATACAAGTGACCTGGGGACCCCTAAACATGAAGATAGTGTCTGAAGTAAAGGGGGTCTTCTTGGGAACTGTGCCTCCATGGTGTAAACTACAATAGTGATTCTGGCTGGTTAGTGTCAGAATGGTATGGCAGTACACCCATATGGGTACCCTGAAACTTAGTTTTGTTATACATGTTGTCTGTAGGTTTGTTGTTATATTATTCTAGCTGCCCTTCTATTTTTGGGAAGGGATTTTGGAGATTCAAAAACCAGGCCACTGTCACTACCATCTTGTTGCCAGCTCTCCTTCAGGTTTTAAGTTAATATGGTATATCTCATTTTTCTCCCCTCCACCCACTATTTCTGTGTTTATCATTTCATAGTCAGATATTAACAAAAGATTAAATTGCTGAAGTTATTCAGCCAGTCTTAAGTATCGCTTCATCAATATGATGCATTAGATTTGTAAGTTAAATAGCATAAAACAAACTATATATTGCAAGTGATGACACATGATAGATATTTTCAAAGTAGTTTGAGGTTAGAATCTCAAAAAGTATAGGCAAAATTTTTACCTCTGTAAGACGGAGTTGTGAAGATGCAGCCATATAATCTGATTCTAATTTGTTCTTCTCAGAGATTACTGTAGTATTTTGTAGAATTAAATCTACTTTTTGTATATGCAAAGAAGTACAAATCTAGGAACAAAAACCCCCAAGAGTTAATTTTTGTTACCTGTGTTTTAGAACTAAAAATAATATAGTTTTCTAAAATAAAATTCTAAACCGTGAAAAAATAATTTTGCTTTTCTTTTCTTGAGATAGAGTCTCACTCTGTCACCCAGGCTGGAGTGCAGTGTTGAGATCTTGGTTCACTGCAACTTCTGTTCTGGGGTTCAAGGTATTCTCCTGCCTCAGCATCCTGAGTAGCTGGGACTAAGGGGCGCGTACTACTATGCCCGACTAATTTTTATGCATTTTTTAGTAGAGACGGGGTTTCACCATATTGGTCAGGCTGGTCTTCAACTCCTGACCTCGTGATCCACCAGCCTCATCCTCCCACAGTGCTGGGGTTACAGATGTGAGCCACCACGCCTGGCCAGAAAAAATAATTTTCCTATTGACTGACATCTCTCTCAAACAGTTCTTAAAACAATTTTTTTTAGAAGGTGTCTTCCTTTGTTTTTAAGAAAGTCATCGGAATAAACACATTTAGCCTAATGAGTGCTTCTATCCTATTTATTATCTCTAAAAAAAAATGTCAAACAACTAAGCAAGCTGAAACCGATGATAAAGATCTCTTGCTTATATAATGTCTGAGACCTTAATCAAAACTTTTTCTCCCTCTAAAGATTTTACTATCTTATCTACCCACTATTTTTTTTAAAGAATGACTACAGTTAAGAAAATACCTTACCTTTATTAGGTTTGTTAATTCGGTAACAAGTTTTGCTTTTTGAACATTTATTTCTTTGATTTTGGTACTTGCTTTTCGCTCTTCCTCTTCAAGGTTGCAAGTATCTTGTTCCATGAGCTTTAAACTGTATGACACACATAATAATGAAGAAATCAGGGTTAAACACAAGAATTGAGCCCAAATTCTTAGGTCTCCTGCAGTTTTCTGGGATATATTTAGCAATGCTTTTTAGATATATAAACTGCTGGCTCCTAGATTAAACAATCATTTTATGTGATCAGTCAGGATTGAAAAATATTTGTTGAGATATAGTATGTGCCCCAGCATAGTCCAGGTAATACCTGTGTTAATGGTTTAGAATCAGGAGTCAGAAAGATGGCTTTGTTTCCTCTTTGCCATTCACTAATAAGCAGTTTAACTCTGGACAAGTTACTCTTCTGAGCCTGTTTCCTCATCTATAAATTACAGAAAATAACAGTACTTCCTCCATAGGGCTGTGGTGAGGCTTAGAAAAGGTAATGCATTGTTTCCTTACGGATGGGGGGAAGTAACACATGTAACACACTAAATATAGTGCCAGGCCCATAACTGATCCATCAATAAAGTTGTTTGTTGCTATTAATATAGTTTATAAAATAGTCCCTTCCCTTAAGAAGCTTAAGTGGAGATAGTTAATAGCTAAGAAACAGAAAAAAAAAAAGAACCACAACACAAGAATCCTAAAAGTTAATACTATGCTCTCAATTTTAAAAATGAAGGAACTAAGGCTCAGGGAAGTGAAGTAAAATTGCCTAAAATCACAGATATTAAGTATTAAGATGTGTCTGGTACCAAAGTCCATGTTCTTTCCACTACACCATGTTGCCACGAAGGAAAAAGAACAAATGATGGAAGCAATAATAAATAAGTTCAGTGGGTGCTGTGGAGAGTGGCCTGAATGGTACAAGGTAGGGTATGTTGGGGAGGGGAGGGAGATAAGTTGGAATGAGTAGAGCAAAACAATGTTTTGAATAATCATAAAGCTTGTCTAAAGGACAATAGTGTCTAATTAAATTTCATGTAGTAACTGTAGAAAGTCCTAATTTGTTTTTTTTCCTGTTGTTGTTGTTTTTTGAGATAGAAGTCTTACTCTTTCACCCAGGCTGGAGTGCAGTGGCATCTCAGCTCACTACAACTTCTGCTTCCCAACTCAAGTGACTGTCCTGCTTCAGTCTCTAGAGTAGCTTGGGATTACAGGCACCTGCCACCACGGCTGGCTAATTTTTGTATTTTTAGTAGAGACAGGGTTTCACCATGTTGGCCAGGCTGGTCTCAAACTCCTGACCTCAAGTGATCCACCTGCCTCGGCCTCCCAAAGTGCCGGGATTACAGGCATGAGCCACTGTACCTGGCCTCATAATGAATGGGGTGAGAATATGCAAACAAAATAAATTTTACAACAGTCTTGTGGATGAACTAAATGGAGAAGTGACTAGTCAAGCAGAGACCACTAACTAGGTCACCACTGCAGCAGTCCAAAGTGAACAGAAGTTGGACATAGTGGGCCAGAAACATGCATGAAAAGTCATCTCACTGTGAAAATCAACATTATGAGGAGAGTTTAGTTTTAGACAATGGGTTCAATACAGTAGTTGCACAGTAAAGGTTGAGTGTTTTGCAGATGACTGAATAGGAAATGAAGGAAAGGGTTACAAATTGAAAAAAAAGGTTTAAGGTTGAAACAAATTCTAGAAAGCAAAACTAAATAGATACATCTTGCTTTAAACAACCAAGGCACATTACCAATTTTAAAAACAGACGTTAATAGGCAATTGTTTGCTTTAAAAAAAGATAAACAAGGTAAACATACCTTATTCAAGACAAAGAGCTGTTACTTATTATTAAAGATTGATTATGTCACTCATCTCTAGTCTATAGACAAGAAGACAAAATAACAACAAAAAGCTGTGGGCTGTTACGGTAGGATATGGAAAAAACTTAACTGGAAACCGTGTGCCTTTTCCCCAGACTTGATACCCTAATAGCTTTTATCCTACCTTATATATACTGGTTTCTACAAAATACCTAAATTCAAAATAAAGGTTATAATCAGTTCTGAGAATAGCTGCCTGGGCTTTCACAATAAGCCAGTAGTTTTCCATTTAGAAAGGACTTTTGGCTGGGTGTGGTGGTCATGCCTGTAATCCCAGCACTTTGGGAGGCCAAGGCAGGAGGACTGATTGAGGCCAGGTGTTCAAGACCAGTCCCAGCAACACAGCAAGACCCCATCTCTACAAATAAGCTGGGCATAGTGGTGCACACCTGTGGTCCCAGCTACTCAGGAGGCTGAGGTGAGAGGATCACTTGAGCCCAAGAGTTCGAAGCTGCAGTGAGCCATGATGATGCCACTGCACTCCAGCCTGGGTAACAGAGCAAGACCCTATCTCAAAAAAAAAAAAAAAAAAAAAAAAAAAAAACAGACAGACAGACAGAAAACGAAGGATGGAAGACTTTTGACAATATTATATTCATACAAAGTTCTATGGAATATATGACCCATTAAGGCCAAGCAAATATAATTCTAATTGTCACAAGGAAGACTGCAATTGAATGAGTGAGATAAACCCTCAGGTGCCCAATTTAATCTGTTCTGTAAAAATCAGTATAACTTCCTCCGTCCCTACTACTCTCTTTCAGAACTACAGAGAGAAAAGCCTAGTTTGACAATTTCTCTGCCTACACCTTCCCCTCCCCTCTCCTCTCATCATTCAGAACTCAGTGGACATATTGTTTTGGATCATCATGTAGGGCAGTGGTTCTCAAAGTATGGTCCACAGACTCCTGGGGATACCTGAAACCATTTCAGGAATCTGTGAGTTAGAAACTATTTCCATGGTAATAACAGGATATCATTTGCCTTTCTCACCATGCTGACATTTGCACTGATGGTGTAAAAGCAATGGAGAGTAAAAATGCTAGTGCTTTACAATAAATCAAGGTAACAAACCAACACTAGTACACCAAAGTATACTAGCAGTCCTTACATTCTTCACTGCCATGCACTTGAAATTTTTTAAAACGCCAAATTCCCCTAAGAATATGCTTGATGAAGCAGTAAAAATCGTAAACTTTATTAAATCTCAAAATCTTTAAAGAATATGCATTTTTAATATTCTATGTGATGAAATAGGAAGTACATAATATAATTGTCCCCCAGTATCCAACAGGGATTGGTTTTAGGACTCCTCAAGAATTCCAAAATCCACAGATGCTTAAGTCCCTTATATAAAATGGTGTAGTATTTGCATATGACCTATGCACATCCTCCCATGTATTTTATATTATCTCTAGATTACTTAAAATACCTAATACAATGTAAATACTATATAAATAGTTGTTGTATTGCTTAAGGAATAATGACCAAAAAAAAAAGTCTGTAAATGTTCCATACAGACACAACCATCCATTTTTGATCCCCCGAGTATTTTTCTTTCTTCTACCCTCCCCTGCTGTCTAAAGAGATGGGGTCTTGCCATATTGCCCAGACTGGTCTCGAACTCCTGGACTCAAGTGATCCCTCTGTCTTGGCCTTCCAAAGTGTTGGGGTTACAGGTATGAGACATTCTACCAGGCCTCTCAAATATTTTTGATCTGTGGTTGGTTGAATCCATGGATGTGGAACCCACAGATACGGAGGGCAGCCTGTACTTATTAAACACTTGCAGTATATTCAAAAGGATAAAGGTTGTGTCAAGGAAAAGCACTTGTGTGATTGCTTAAGTTTGGAGTTATACTAGACTTTTTTTCCATAGAATACCATTTTTACTTAATAGTTTTTTTTTTTTTAATCGCACTTGGCTATTTGGCCATTTTTCTTTTTCCAAAAAGGAATAAAGCGACCTTGTCATTTCAAGGAAAATAACTGACAATATTTGTTCCAATGATAAAGTTCAAACTTTTTTTTTTTTTAAGATAGAGTTTCACTCTTTACTCTTGTTGCCCAGGCTGGAGTACAGTGGCATGATCTCAACTGACTGCAATCTCTGCCTCCTGGGTACAAGCGATTCTCCTGCCTCAGCCTCCCTAGTAGCTGGAATTACAGCCATCTGCCACGACGCCCAGCTAATTTTTTGTATTTTTAGTAGAGATAAGAGTTTCACTATGTTGTTCGGGTTGGTCTCGAACCCTTGACCTCAGGTGATCCACCCGCCTTGGCCTCCCAAAGTGCTGGGATTACAGGCATGAGCCACTGTGCCCAGCCAAGTTCAAACTTTCAAATGAAAATTAGAATTTTAAAAAATGTGTATCCACTGCCAAGCTTGACAGCTTCCCAATTCTTAATAGCTTTTCTGATGGAATCAGTGATCAATGTGATCTTTTAAAAATATTATATAGATGGGACTTTCAAGATGGCCGCCTAAGAACAGCTCAGGACTTCAGCTCCCAGTGAAAGTGCAGAGGGTGAGTGGACGCCGCATTTCCAGACGAACTCTTATTGCCCACAGACCAGGAGATACCCAGGCAGAGGGGTCGCCAGCGTCGCAGTCCCAGCCGGTGCGGCTGTTTTGGCCCCCGCGGGGCTGCTGTGACCACTCCCTGTTGCTGCGGTTCTCCGTACAAAAGCCACTGGTCTGGGAGCCCTCTTAGCTGGCGAGCAGAGCCTTGAGACGGCAGAATAGCCCATTCATCTGAAATAGCGAGCCAGGCCAGGAGATTCCTAGGCAAAAAATCCGCCAGGAGCCGGCGCCGCGGTTCGAGCCGACTCCGTGAGTCGCAGCACGGGAGATCCCGGCGCCTTTTCAACAAGCGACCGGAACGCGGGGTCGTTCAACTTAAAAGAAAAGACTCTGAGTCAGGGAGCCAGGTGATCAGGCTCGGTTGGTCCCACCCCTCCACCCCCAACAACAACGAAAACAAAAACAGTAATTGGAAACCCTCTGGGTTGAGCCCTTCAAACCAAGCACAGCTGAACCCGGACGGTCCAGCTCCGTGGGGGAGGGGCTTCCGCCATTACTGAGACTCTCCACCACTACAGCCGAGGCAACCCGCCGTTGCCGAGGCAACCTGCCACAACAGAGAGAGTCCGCCATAACAGAGGCGGGGCCACCATTGCCCAGACAGTTCTAACTACACCCATATAAAAAG